TTTAAAATAAAAAAAAGTTTCCATGTTTTCATCTTTGCAATGGTTGCACTATGGGTTCACGTGTTCAGTGTGTGAGAATCCATCAAAGGGTACACATAAGATTCAGTTATTTTTGTGCTGGTTATATTTCAATTAAAAGTTTATTTTTTAAAAAAATCCTTTTTTTTAGCAACTAAGAAAGATCTTCCCTCTCATGGCCAGTATGTTCTAGTGAATCAGTAGAAGTTCCTTTGACTCTACTATATGCCAAACTAAAAATTAATACAAATATGTTGATACCTTGCCCCTTACAAAAATATTTTTCAGTGGACTATAATAAAGAGTCATGCACAATCATAGAATAATACTAGGAGGAGGTTGTCAGCATTATATAATAAGAACTTTCCTTGCACACATGCGCCACTTTACTGGGCACCATGGAAGGTTTAAATCTATCCACTCATCTCAAAATGCTCACTACCAAGCGGAAGAGACTAAAGATTTATTCACTTATTGTAGTAAGTGGCCATTTGTCTTCAGATATATCAGAACTTGTTGAAATAAGTCTCTCTCTCTCTCTCCCTTTCTCTCTGTCTCTCTCTCAATCAATCAATAAACCCAAAGGAAGCAAAAGTTTTCATGGACTTCATCTTATACTTAATGTGTAGATAATCAAAGTAGGAAGGACCACATCTGATCAATAATTTAAAAAATCTGACCTCCCAATCCGGAAGCTTTCAGAATAAAGATTTTAATCTTTATACAATGGTTTAAAGTGAGAGATACCTATACATCTAGCCAGCAGGAAGACTTTTGTAATTGTTCTGTAATTATGTTCCTGTGCTCACATGTGCTGTTTTGAAGGCTAGATTCTCAGCCTCAAAGAACACAGATCTTATTCTAGTTCAAACTGTGATGGGGAAGTTGTTACACATTTTTCTGCTTCTTTATATCCTAGGGATTTAGAGATGTGGAGGGAAAAGATGTAAACAATTCAAGCCTATAGACTTGCTTTCTTCAATATAGTTGATTTTCTTTCATTTGTGCCAGAAAGGACTAGCCTGGCACAGAGTAATGTATCTATTTCTTTTTTGTTGTTGTTTTGTTTTTTTTTCCAGTACCAGGAATCGAACTCACGACCTTGTGCTTGCCGGGCAGGGGCTGTGCCGCTGAGCTAAATCCCCAGCCCAGAGTAATGTATCTAAAATGTCATTGTGAACATTTATTTCCCAGGAATCTGTAAAAATGCAGATCCAGATTGACTAGCTATAGGTTCAGGGCGGGGCCTGAGAATCTACTTTCTAACAAGCCACTAGTTCGTGAATAACTTTTTGATGAGAAGCTTAGAAAGGATATAAAGAAAAGGAGACTAGACTTGGAATAATTACACTTCACAGTATTAGTGTCAGCTCAGCATTTACCAGCTTGTTTTCTTGGAGTTTAACTATCCAAATGTAAATTTTGTAATAGAGGGAGGTGGTGGATCAAGTTATTTCAAAGCTTGCACTGATGGACTCTTCAGAGTTATATTTAGATTAAAATCTTCAATTATAAGTCCTTGTACAGCCTTGCAGGGGACTAACAGATAAACTGACACAAAGCTAGCAAAGTAGAGACTGTCATAACTGGCACGTGAGGGCATGGTCATGTCAGGGGCAACAATAATTTCTCATGGTTAATGTAAACCCATGGCTTCAAAGTGATAAGGTTGGCTTAAAATGTGTTACCTAGAGAGAAGCTGCTATTCCCCACCACCAGCAATCACTTCTGGAGGAGACCTACCTGTCTGAAAAACCAGTTGCATAGGAAACTTGAATGAAGGGAGCAATAGATGTGTTGTGCACATCAGAAAGCTATGAACATTCAGAAAGCTATGAATGACTCATGGTGAGGTGGCAGCTTTTCGGAGCTATGAGAAAGTCTGGTTTGAATACAGCAGTTTGTCTCCGTTGCAGATCATTCCAGTCCAGTTGGCCGGGAATGCGGATCTCAGACCTGGTGGCACCCGAGCTTGTGAGACACGGGAGGGAGGACAAATGTAGTCTCCCACAAGGGTTAGGGGGCGCCTAGGTGCTTGAGTGTGCAAAGGAGTTCAAACTGACGAGGGGCGGGAGACGATTAATGAGGAAGGGACACGGGGAATTTAACTGAATGAATGCTGCGCCGCAGAACCTGAGCCTATGGTGGCGGCCCCTCCCCCAGCGCCAGCGCGTCTTTCTTTTCGAGCAGTAAACAGCATTAAATGGAAAGACCCCCCACTCTCAAAGACGCGAACTAGTTTCTCTTTTAAGTCCCAAAGCAAAGTCAGGGAGTACAGCGAACTGGTGACAGCGTCCTCTCCCAGCGTTGGGATGGAGGCTGGGAGGTTTTTACCTTATGCAGGACATGCTCGTTGAAGTCGGGGCCAAGTCCCCCCTGGTAGGAGTCGAGTCTCTGCAGATCCATGCCCAGCTGGGAGCCCACTGCTCCCTGGTCTCCCCGCGCACTGCGTCAGAGCTCCCAGAAGCTGGGTCCGGGCCCCGCTGGGTGCGGCAGGCGCGGGTCTGAGCCTCGCGAGCCCGGCCGCATCCGTGTTCAGCACTGGACAGCTCCCGCGGCGGCCGCGGCGGCACCAGCGACACCGCGGCGGTTCAGCACCAGAACAGCGAGGCCGCCTCCGTGCGCCTGGGACCAGAGTTCTGAGAATTCGTCCTCTCTGACGCTCTTGTCTTGTGACTCCACGAAGCTGGGACCGCCGCAAGATTTGAGCCTAGCTGGTGGTCTGTGCGTATCTTCTTCGGCTCCAGGACTCGGGAGGCTCAGCGTTCGGGGGCGTTCCCAGGGCACTGCGGTCCCGGGAGCTCGCGGTTCCTGAGTGTCCTGAGGCAGCGCCCCGTCACCACACAGCTCGCTGTCTGCCCCCGCGTGTACAGAGGCGAAGTCCTGCGGTGAGGGAGCTGCTTCTCTTTTGCTCCCTGGACAGTTCTCCTCAGCATACAGCTTGAGCTAAGCTTGACCTTTTGAGCACGGGATTCAGAATTCAGATCTGGGCTCTAAAATTTATTAGTTGTGTAACCTTGGGCCAGTTACTTAATCTTTTAAGAGCTCACCAAAAGGAAATAATAATATCTACCTCACGGTGTTGTTCTGATAATTTAAAGAGTCAATTCAAGTAAACCTAAAGATATAGCTCAGCGGGACAAGGGCCTGCCTGGCAAGTACAAGGTCCTGA